GGTAATGATAATAGCGATGATAGTAATAATCTACACACAAAACGTCAATAAAATAACGAAAAAAAACATAAATAAAAACGGAAAAAATAAAAATCACAAAAAAAAACGAAAAAAGCAAGAAATCAAAAAAACGAAAAAAATACCAAAAAAAAAAACGAGAAAAAAACGAGAAAAAAACGAAAGACGACCTCGGAAACGACCTGCTCCGTCCGTTGCAGGTCTATCGAACGTGAGCAGCGCCAGTTCGAGCAGCGGAGGGTCGTACCGCAGCCTGGGTCGTGGCAAGCTGGGGTCGTCCTCCTCCTGTACTCCAACAAACGACTCCCTCAGTCCAAGAAGGTAAGGCAGAGGGTAAGTACATTTCCCAATTCATTTTCTTTCATTTTCTTTTTTTTTCTTTTTATCTTTCTGATTTTTTTCTTTGTTTTCTTTTTTCTTTTCTTTTATATTTTTTTTTTTCTTCTTTTTCTGGTTTCTTTTCTTTCTTTTTCTGTTTCTTTTTTTTTCTTTTCTTTGTGTTTTCTGTCTTTTTTTCTCGTCTTGTTTTTGTTTGTCTTCTTTTCTATTCGCTGCATTTCGTTTTTCTTTCTTTCTTTCTTTTTTCTTTCTGATATCTTGTGCTGTTTTCATCTTCCTTTTCTTTTTCTTTTCTTTTGTTTCTTATGATCGTCTTTGGCTGCGGCTTTCTTGGTGTTCCCTCTCTCCTTTTCTTTATTTCTCTTTCATGTTTCTCCTCTTTTTTTCTTCGTATCTCCCTTCCTCTCCTTCACCATCTCGCTCATCTTCTTTATTTCCTCCCTCTTTCTCTCGCTCTCTCTTTCTCTCTCTCTCTCTCTCTCTCTCTCTCTCTCTCTCTCTCTCTCTCTCTCTCTCTCTCTCTCTCTCTCTCTCTCTCTCTCTCTCTCTCTCTTTTCTTTCTCTTTCTCTTTCTCTCTCTTTCTCTTTCTTTCTTTTCTCTCTCTCTCTTCTCTTATCTATCTCTATCTCTTTCTCTATCTGTTTCTCTCACTCTCATTCTCACTCTCTATTTATTCTTCCTCGTTTCATCATTCTTGGGCGAATACGCTGAAACCAACGAAGCAAACGTCATCATATAAAAGAAGAGAAAGTCACAGAGCGAATGTCCTCTTTACGTCGCTGTGACGCCTGTATGTTTCCCTTCTTGTGTTTGATTCTCCCTCTAACCCTCCGTTTTCTTTTACTTCCATCCCGTTTTCTGATTTTTGTAAGAGAAAATGTTTTCAAAAGGATTTTTGATGGGAGACTAAATTATTTTTAATCAAAAGGACAATGGGACTTTTGTCACTTAAACAGTATTTTTACAAATAATAGTAGATTTTTTTACAGATGGCTTATGTATATATATATATATATATATATATATATATATATATATATATATATATATGTATATATATATATATATATATATATATATATATATATATATATATATATATATATATAATATATATATTATATATTATATATATATTTGTATATATATATATATACATATATATGTATACATACATACATACATATATATACATATATATATATATATATATATATATATATATATATATATATATATATATATATATATAATATATTATATATATACATATATATATATATATATATATATATATATATATATATATATATATATATATGTATATGTATATATATGTATATATATACATATATATACATATATATACATATATATATGTATATATATATATATGTATATCTATTACATATATACATGCATAAAAATACACACACGCACACACACACACACACACGCACGCACGCACACAAACACACACACACACACACACACACACACACACACACACACACACACACACACACCACACACACACACATATATATATATATATGAATATATATATATATATATATGAATATATATATATATATATATATATATATATATATATATATATATACATAATGTAATATATGTAATATATATACATAATACATAGAAACTGGGTTTTAAGTTAAACTGTATACTATTATTTGTATAGTAAATGAAGTAAAATTATGTCTAAATTTGTTTTATTGTGACTGACCTTATTTAAGTTTTAGAGATACCAGTACCCCACTCATGTACTAAAGAAATATTACCTCCTTTTTGTTAACCATGGAAATGTGTCTTTTACCTGTTTGTAGAAAAATAATCCATATACCTCTCGGTTATAGTGCATTGTCACCACTCTTTATTTATATTTTATCCCATCTGGTTTGCTGTGCTGGCCTTCATTTTACCAGAGTCTCCCCCCTTTAACCCACGACCAGGTATAACACCGTTTTCTGTTGTAGGTCTCGAGCAAGAGCGGAGCACGAAGTAAGGAGCCCTTGAAGGGGGGACTTCCGCAAATCAGAATTGATGAGTACCAAGAGCCTCCATGTCGCCCCCCACCTAGTTGCCGTCCGCATCGGGTTCACATTAGAGAGAACAAGGTGGCGCCTCAGGTGAATACAGTGTTGCATCTCGTTGAAAGACTGACAGAGGAATACACTTTGCATCTTCTCTTGATTCAAAGATTCTTTTGATTACTTAACTCCCCATCTTGGATTCGGTCAGGAAAATGCTGTAGTAACGAAACAGCAACTTTTCCCCAGCCGATTTTTTTCTTCTTTTTTATCTTATAAAAGATCTTTCATTCTTCTGAATTAAATTTCGTATTGCTGTCCTGGGTATTGGGAGATAAATCCTTTTTAAAAGGTTTTAACTACGAAACGGACGTATGTATATATAAAATTATCCCTTATTGCCTGGTTTGATAGCTATTAAAAAGAGATGCGAGACAAATCGTGTCGTTTTCATCAGTATGAATTAATGAACTGCAAAAAATAAGCAGTTCTTTTATACTAAAAACAATATAATAATAATAATAATACGGTGTCAGATATATCGTTTGGTCAGAAATCAAGACATGGCAACTCAATTCAAGTCAGGTCAAGCCGAACCATCCTGAAAAGGGAGATGATTGAAATATTACAATATTAGAACAAAAAATAAGCATTAGATAAGCAAGGTGAATAGATAACTATCATGACTAACCTTAAACCCAGCCCGAGACGGTCCTGGAGAGAGTGAGAAGGAAGGTACAGTTAAGTCAGCTGGGCGCGATACAACGCCGTCAAGAGAGTATGGTAAGATAACTACAAAATAGATCTTTAAAAAAAAAGAGAGACAAAAAGATGTTTTAACCCAGCTACCTCCTTCCTCCCTCCCTGAAATTCGGGAAATATTCTTCCGAAATAAGTGTGAACAGCAACTCCAGTGGACGTTCATTTTTCAATTTGCATGTGTGGATATTCCGACTTGGCACCTCACTGCTTTTTTCCTGTGTTTTTTCCTAATTTTCCGATCCAATAAAATAGAACTTGGAAAAAAGTAAAACAAAACCTCACGCGCTATCGCTATCGCTATCTCTATCACCTGTGTACCTCTATACAGAAATAAAATTAAACAAATTCCCCCAAAACACCAATAATATTTCCTCTCTTCCGCCTTTTAAAAAACAAAAGAGTCGCGGCCACAACACATGACGTGTGGCAGAGGCTCTGATCTGTTGCGAATTTTTTTCTTCTTCTCACGGAACTAAATAAGGAACAAGACGTAACGATTTCTCACCTGTCTTGCTCCGCTCGTGCTCACCTGTTCGCTAATTACCTCGTTGTGCATGGCATGTGTTGTTTTCACCGTTTAAATGATGTGTTTTTTTTTCCTTTTCCTTCTTTTGTATTCGATGTGTTTAATGTGTTTCCCTTCAACAGCAAAGCCTTTAGTAGGAGAGGTAAACAATGTGATATTTCCTTTCGCTGTTAAGTGTACTTGTTTATTTGTTTTATTTGTTAAGTGTACATTTTAAACCTTATATTGATGTAATTCATTAATTCCACACAAACGCCTCTATGTACAATTATTTCTTTTACATTACTATTTAACTTTCTTTTTTTTTTCTTTTACAATAAACACTTTATATCCTAATTACTGTGTAGATATGAAATACATCATACACTTGAAAAATATATAAAATCTCCCAAACAAATAATTCTTGAATCTCATTTACAACTTTATAAAGAAATGAAAATAACAAAAACAATTTTGTTTTGATACACATTTCTTCACCCAGTATTTAGGAATTCACAAAATACATTCTTTTTTATTCCCGCCAAAACCACCATTAAGACTACAGACAGCAAGCAATAATGCTCATTTTATCTTACAGGTTATATATCCAAAGCACCTTAACCATCTGCAACCACACTCAGTAGTTATTTGCAATATAATAACCATCTGCAATCACACTTAGTAGTTATTTGCAATATAATAAATATTTGCAACACACTTATACACCTGTATCCCTTCAAAAATATTTGCAACACACTTATACACCTGTATCCCTTCAAAACAAAAGAATGCCTGCACAAACCCACGCCTAATTAACACGCAAAAAAATATTTTCACTAAGCATCAATCAGTCGATATCTTTCACATCAATGCCATATCAGATAACACCTGGATTAAAACAATTAATAAAAATTAAAAAGACAAAACAGGTATTAGTAAAAACAATCAAAATATAGAATCAAAGACATATGAACTCGCTAAACACTAAAAACACATTTTTATGTTTAATATCTGTGTGCAGAATATTACGCCACTTGTACATACAGAAAGAGAGGAGGATAGAGGAGAGAGAGAGAGAGAGAGAGAGAGAGAGAGAGAGAGAGAGAGAGAGAGAGAGAGAGAGAGAGAGAGGAGAGAGAGAGAGAGAGAGAGAGAGAGAGAGAGAGAGAGAAAGAGAAAGAGAAAGAGAGAGAGAGAGAGAGAGAGAGAGAGAGAGAGAGAGAGAGAGAGAGAGAGAGAGAGAGAGAGACTGACTGGCTGGCAGGCAGGTAATCAGACAGACAGACAAACAGATAGACAGACGGTTGGATAGGTAGACAGACAGACACACAGTCAAACGGTTAGACAGGCAGACAGAAAGGTTGACAGACAGAGGGTTGGGGAATGAGAGGAAATAGAGAGTGAGGGGAGGAGGGAGAGAGGGAGGGAAGGGATGAGGGTGAGTGGGAGAAAGGGAAGGAGGGAAGTAGTGAGCGTAGGTGGGAAGGAGAGAGAGAGTAACGAACGAACGAACGAACGAAGAAACGAAGGAAGAAAGAAAGCAAGGAGGGAGAGCGAAAGAGGAGCATGAGAGGGGGAACACAACCGCTTATGAATTGCTGTTCGATCCTGGATCCCTGAAAAGACGCTTTTAGTGTAAAATCTCGACCCCTCTTCAACTTTTCTCTCTCTCTCTCTCTCTCTCTCTCTCTCTCTCTCTCTCTCTCTCTCTCTCTCTCTCTCCCTCTCTCTCTCTCTCTCTCTCTCTCTCTCTCTCTCTCTCTCTCTCTCTCTCTCTCTCATCTCTCTCTCTCTCTCTCTCTCTCTCTCTCTCTCTCCTCCCTTCTGTTCTTCCTTACGGGATGGTGGAGGGAGGGAGGGATAGATGGATAGATGGGTGGATGAATGGATGGGTAGGTTGGTAGGTGGGCGGGTGGGTGGATGGGTGGGTGGGTGGGTGGATGGATGGGTGGATGGGTGGATGGATGGTTGGATGAATGAATGGATAGGTGGGTGGGTGGGTTGGTGGATGGATGGATAGGTACAAGGATGGGTAGGTCGGTGGGTGAGTGAATAGATGAATGGATGGATGGATGAATGGGTGGGTGGGTGGGTGTATGGGATGAATAAATGGATTGTTGGGTGGACAGATGGGTGAATAGATAGGTGGGTGGATTGATGTGAAGGTGAGTGGGTGGTTGGGTGGATAGATTGTACGATGGATGGGTGGATGGATGGATGGATAGGTGGGTGGGTGAGTGAGTGGGAGTTTGGGAGGCAGGGTGGATAGATAGATAGATGTAAGGATGGATGGATGGATGTAGAAAGGAAGGAAAGGAGGAAGAGACAGACAGACAGACAGACAGAGACATAGATGGAAACAAACAGACAGATATATGCAGAGAGACAGACAGAGATAGGCAAACAAGGATAGAGAGAGACAGAGACAGACAAAAGACAGAGAGAGAGAGATATACAGGGAGAGACAGACAGACAGACAGAGACAGACATACAGAGTTGAACAGACAGACAGATAGAGCGATGAGTAGGAGAGAGAGAGAGAGAGAGAAAGAGGAGAGAGAGAGAGAGAGAGAGAGAGAGAGAGAGAGAGAGAGAGAGAGAGAGAGAGAGAGAGTCAGACAGAGAGACAGAGACAGAGGAGACAGAGAACAGACAGACAGACAACAGAGAGACAGAGACAGACAGACATACAGTCAGCTACCCAATAGACATACAGACTTTCTAGCACACAAATTATCGAACAGATAGACAATCAGACAGACAGGCAGACAAACAGACAGACAGACAAAAACAAATCCACGCACACACATTGGCATAAACTTCCACCCAATCCGCGGTATGTCTTCATCCCCTTCCCTTCCACTTACACCCCCCACCCCACCTCCTCCTTTTCCTCCACTCATCCCCCTCCCTTTCCCTCTACTCACCTCCTCCTCTTCCCTCTACTCACCCCCTCCCCTTCCATCCACTATCCTCCTCCCCTCCATCCACTCACCTCCTCTTCCCTCCACTCATCCCCTCCCTTGCCTCCATCATCCCCCTCCCTTCCATCCACTCACCTCCTCCTCTCCCTCTACTCCCCTCCTCTTCCTCCACTCGCCCCCTCCCCCTTCCCTCCATTCACACCCCATCTTCCCTTCCTTTCCCTCCCGCTCCCTTCTTCCCTCCACTCACCCCTTCCCCCCTTCCCTCCACTCACACCCCCTTCTTCCCTTCCTTTCCTCCCGCTCCCTCCCTTCCCTCCCCTCTTCTCTTCCTTTCCCTCCCCGCTCCCTCCCTTCCCTCCGCCCTCATTCAAAAACCCTCTCTCTTCCGCCAGGAGGTTTTGGGAAGGCTGCCGACCATCAAAGAGTACACGGAATTCATAACAGAAAAGGAACTCGAGAAAGAGAAGTCATCTTCTACAAGAATAAGGTGAGCGAGACTTTCATTTTTCCCGCGCGCGATCTAGGTTTACAACTACCATTCATTGTAGTTTTTTGTGATTGAACATTGGTACAAGCTATAATCAAATTTGTTTTTTTTTCTTAGTAAATGACAAGAAACCCATTAGCATTTTACCATCTTTTTTTTTATTTTTGTGATTTTTTTTATACTCACTCACACTCTAATGATTTTTAATCCAAGACATTTCTGACCTATGAGTAAGAAAAAAAAGGAAAAATAGGATTTTTTTCAACATCACAACTAAGGAGTGCTCCATAACTCATATCCTATATATCATATATGCCCCGTTTGCTTCAATAACGGTTGCACAGTCGCTCAATAAACTCTCCTTCTGGCCTATACAGAGCTTTGTAAGAGAATGGAAGGCGAGGGGG